TAATAAGGTAGATTTAAGACAGAATGAAAATAAAAATGAAATAAGGTAGATTTGCCCCCCCAGGGTTTTGCACCCTCCGACTCAGTGCAGGTGGTGAGGAGAAGGAGGAAATAATAGCAAATGCCTGCATCGCTGATGGACAATGTTCCCACCCCATGCAGGACCACCATCACTACGCTGAGCCAGCTCTTCACGACAGACCTCCTTCCCACCCAAATGTGTTGAAGGAAGAATATCGTGTGTCCCCCCATCTCGGCCATCAAATAAATAATAATGTGCAAAGATTAATGTGCAATCTATTGCCCATGTGCAACTTGCTGCTACTACTTTGTTATTTGTTGTTATCCTGTTGTTGTGATCTCAACTGTTTTTTTTCTCTTGTACATAGTGTCTTTAATTATTTCCCTACTCCTTCTGTTTTATTTATACTGTTTTTCTCTATCCCTTTTGCTGCTGTTACATTGGAAATTTCCCCATTGTGGGGACAAATAAAGGAAATATCTAATCTATCTATCTATCTATCTTACTATCTACTATCTATCTATCTATCTAATCTATCTATCTATCTATCTAAAATAGAATACATGGATTAAAACTTTATAGGTATATTTTGACAGTATTTATAAAAAAAACTATACTAAAAACAAAATAAAAAAGAAGCAGGCAGCAGAAAGACCTCGAATGGAGAACATAAACTTTATCTTTTTCTCATTTTCCTTTGTATTTTAATGAGCCAGAATAAATGAACGTAATTCCGATAACACCCCTCCCACACCAGTTGGCGGCGGTATTGCAACATAACGTCGTTTGCCAAACAAGCTATAGGACGTCGAGAAAGAAGAAGAAGAAGGTAGTCCGGAAAGATGGCCGACCGTGGCCGGCTGGTTAGCCGTGTCCCTGCGGTGTCCTTCCAAAGATTTTCCAGTGAGTAATGTCACAAGTCAGTTGGCAATTTGAATAGCGACACACACGCGTTTGGAGCATAATTAAAGACTCTTCTTAAATGCGCCACACAGATTTGACCCCCGACGGGAAGCTCGCAGCGCTCACTCTGCTGAAAGTGGAACCTTCCGCTCAACGAGCTCTGCTAACATAGGCCGTCTGTGAGGTCACAGTGGAGGCTCACAGTGAGGTTTACAGTCCGATAATAAGGCGTATTCACTCTCTCACAGTCAGTCTGTGGGCCCGCAAACTGGGGCTCCTACGTTGATGGTCATAACTGTATACTGCTTAAAGAAGCCAGCAGCCTTTAAAAACAAGTCTTTTTTGCCATTTGTTGTTGTTGTTGTTGATTTGGTGTTTTAAACAGTGCTGCACAGTGAATCAAGGTTAAAGTGCAGTATGCGTGAGTTTTGATGAAGGTAATGTGTGATAAACAGCAATATACTTCATATATTACATGTCCTATAATTATTTAATAATCAATCCAATCACAAATGTCTGCTGGAATAATGGGCAATGTGCTGCTTTTAATCAGATCATGTACCTTGTTTTGACCCTTTTTTTAACCTTTGTTTTAACCCTTTGGTTTACCTTTGGTTTAACCCTGTTGTTTTAACCCTTTCATCCAGAACTTTAAAGGACACTTCGCCTTTTTATTTCATTCTGTCTTAATATCATATATGAAGTAATTTGAGCTGCACTAAACTGTTTTGAAGTTTGATTGATCGATTGATTAAAGATACTGAAACAAAAATAGATAACATGTATCCTCAGAGCTTCTTTGTGAAAGATCACATAATAGCTCAACTTTATTTCATTTCAAGTTCCCTTCTGTCAGCATCATATTTTGGAGAGTAAAGCAAAACATGTTCTAACGTTTCTTCTTGATTATCCAATGTACACCTTCCAAAATGTACCCTTGATACCTTTAAACCTCCTCTCTGCAGGTTCTCATCATACCTACTTTAAAAACAAATCTGTAACCACCTACCTGTTCTTCTACATCTCACTACTCTTGCCACATTTCTCGCAATTTATGCTTAATTGTGGCTTACTTTTCTGTTTTACTAATAGTGAATCGGATTCATTTTTGTGACATTTATCAACTTTGATTGCTATGTGCTGGTATCCATGCAAGTATTATATTTAGTCTCATCATACAGAGTTTGCTTTACCTCATTTAGTCTGCTGTCTGAATGGCTCTTCTCCAAGCTGATTAATAAAGTGGAATCAGAGTATAATCATAATCACTGATTCGTTTGCAAATTCTAATGTCAAAATCTGGAACTATGGAGGAAATACCAGTTTTGTTAACTGAGTTCTTTGAACCATTTGTATAAAATTTGAAGTTATTTAGCTTGAGAGTTAATCATTTTCTATATAGGTCTTTATGAATTGTGAAATGAATTTCTTATTGTTAGTCATAAACAAAAGTATTGGACAAGTAAAAATGTTGACATGATGGTGGTATTAGATGAAAATACTACTACTACTACTAGTCAGCCCCTAATGGCCTAAATCCTTGGATACAGGCGTGCAATTCTAAGAAAGTTAATGGTATTTTTATTATTATTTTTATTTCTACAACCACAGGCTATAGTGTGGATCGGACCGAGCTCATTCAGATTTGAACACTGTACTAATGATGCCTCTGCATTATTTCAAGTTAAATTATGTAAGCATAAACACAAAACCGAGGATAACAACTATAAAAAATCACAACATATTCTCTTTGAAACAACTTTTTATTTCATCATAAAAGACATAAAAATGTTTTTTTTATTTTTTATATTTAAGCTACAATCCATCTTCTCTGGATCTCTGGTTGATTAGCTAATAGAGAGTAAGGGCATAAGTCTATCTTCAATTTATATTAAATTGGATCTCTGTTGGCGACTAAAGACATGAATCAATTGTAAAAAAAAAAAAAGATTATTAATGAAACAATAGTTTCATTATATTCTGTAACATTAGGTGAGACATTATTTTGTCAAATAAATCCTGGCAGGGTAATCTGAACCCTTGTCTGTTTGACAGGTAAGAATCCAATTCTATTCCAGGTGTACACACACAATAGTAAAGTGCAAGATTTCTAATACTGCAAGGCACAAACTATCAATAATAGGATTGTCTTTTTGTTTCTAATGTAAAAAATATTTTATGAATAACACAGACATAAAAAATCTCCTCATACAGAAACAACACAACAAGTAAAACCTTGTCTAAACCCTCAACAAATATCTGAAATATTTTCTTAAAATATGTTCTGTATTACACATAGATAGGAAATTACAGCAGGAATATATACAATACATTCTATTACAAATACATTTATGACTGTTGAATTAAATTGTTGAACAAATATGAAACATAGGATCCAACATAGTCCATAATAAATAAGTGAAATCATTAATAATCAATATGTCATCAACTGAATTCTACAATTAAAAGTACATTTATTACAATTATTTATTCAACATAATTAAAAAACATTTTTGGCTCAGCCTTTATTGCACACGATTCTTCATATATTTTTACCATTATGAAAGTAATGCTAAAATGTCTAAAAGAAAAAAAAAGAATAAAAGCAAAAACTAATATTCGATCAATTTTCTACCCCATGCACATTTTAAACAAGCTACTTGTTTTTTTTTTTAACATGGAAACTGAAAAAAAGAAAGTCTGACCTGTTTATCAAAGATTTCAATGCACAGCAAAGATTGGTTTCAATAAATAATACAGGAGACAGAGACAGCAAAAAGTTGCTGCTGTACTATGAATGATGTTTTTAACCATTTGATCTCTACTGCGTTAAAACAAAATCTCTGCCTGCAACTGCTTCCAAACTCCTTTATAAAAAAAACAACTGGTTGATTGACTTCACTGTCATACATACACTGTCAAAAAATAAAAGAATACACTATAACTGTATACTTAAAACAATAAATAAAAGATGTCCCTCAGTGTGTCCTGTCCATAAATCATAAATCAATATTTCATTCACGGCTTGTGGGAACTGGTTTGTTTCTGACCTGTCAGTAGGAAAACATCCACTTGAGCTGCTTTCCAACTTGAAACTTTTCTATGGCTCTGACTTCTCTTAACATGTTGTTTTGTGACGTCATGTAGACACAAACTCAACACGGCAGTGTTTGTAGCGTGTAATGAGAGCATGGATTGAGGATCTTTTCATTTACTGTGTGTGCAGGGCCGAGCAACTTTTCACCTCAAGAAGTCAGTCAGTCTCAGGTGGGAAGTTGAGACACAGAGTTTGAACCCAGTTACCACTTGTCATGAATACAACACGATTCCCTTTGACTGTTACATGATGGGGGGCAAACACTGAGACGATTCCTGGCTATCTTTTCTCTCTGAGCCCACTTCCTCTTGAGGCTTGATGATGATGTGAACGGGCCTCTCGCCACCTCCTTCTTGCTGTGTGGTATCCGTGGAGAGCTTGCCCTCATTCTCACACACTTCCTTCTCCGCCGAGGCCCCGATTGGCCGCAGACGCTCAGCGGGGGCCATCTTTGTTCCTGTGACTGAACCGTCTCTCATTTGCTTGTCTGTGCTGCTTTCTGAGCTGACTCTCTCCGCTATAAGAGGAAATAAAAGGAAAAATTAAATTAAATGTCAGCTCAAGGGGAATACAAAAGAAGTCTATAGGTATATTTGCAGCTATGGCATGAGCTAATAGTTATGTTTAGGGGATTTAGGAAGGGTCAATCCTGTGTGTTTAATTTTGACTTGTGTGGTTATAAATTATACAGTATGGATGAGGAAATGGACTGCACCTTACCAGACTTGCTGTTAGTTTGTTTGCGGAAACTGGGCTCGCTGCTGTTGTCCGTGCTGGTCGAACTGTCGGAGGTCTTCTTTACTGGTGGCTTGGTTCTTGGGCGGACTTTGTTGAAGTTTCCCTCCAGGATCCACTCGTGCTGTAAACCCTCATCAGGAGTCATACGCTTGGTTGGATCCCAACTGGAGATAGACACAGAAAAAGAATTTAAGTCTGTGAGTGAAAATTGTTATTATTATTAAAACACCACTGAAGCATACTTGAATTCAAACATTTGGACTGTAAAACAGATGTTTATAGACGTTTAGAGTGAACATACGTGAGGCAGCGTTTGATGAAGTCTAAGAACAAAGCATCGTTCGTTTTCAACGCAGCTGAAAGCTCCTTGGAGTTGGGTCTCCTCTTCTTCCCCTTGCTGTTAGTGATGTTCCTGGGGTTTCCTTTCGAGTCTGCACACAATTAACAAACACGGTATTAAGCCTAGTTATTCATTTATCATTTAGTCATTCTGTACTCTGCATTGTTTGATGTACAACATATGAAATATCCACAGATCAAAAACAGTGTGAAGATAAATCTTACCAAAGAACAACCTCCTCCTCGATGCAGACTGAACAAAATCATTCGGAGGCATTCCAAGAACCTGCAAGTTAAAATATCAGGACACTTTAACACACTGTTACGAATTTACATTTGTGCAACTTGCAGAACAAATGCAAATAAATGTGGACACAAATATATTTATGTCTTACCTCCATTATGCAAGCTATTTGCTCCACTTCACTCTCTCCTGGGAAAAGAGGATAGCCTGTGTAGAGTTCACCGAGGATGCAACCCAGACTCCACATGTCAATGGCCATGCTGTAGGGGTGGCCCAGGATGACCTCTGGAGAGCGGTAGAAGCGACTCTGGATGTAGGTGTACACTAATGGCAAAGAAAGAAGTTCTTAAGATAAGTTCTCTCTCCTTCCTTTGAATGTCCCGATATTGTTTAAGAAATGACATATTCTCTGCATTTGGTATTATGCTCTTACCCCTTTGTTGTTCATAACAGCTTGATCCAAAGTCAACCACCTTGATGTTCCCCGGCCCTCTCTGAGACAGAAGGATGTTCTCCTGTTCAGAAGTAGAAGCGAAAACATTTAAAACACTCTGCAATACTATACTGCTCCACAAGATGGAGCAAAATCCACACAGTTTAACTGTCGACAGAGGTACAGTGATTCAGTGCAAAGGGTGTGGTCCACATCACGTTTTGTTCACATCAATATGTTTTAAATCGTGTTTCATGTTCAGGTATTGCAGAAAATGAAGTCAGTACCGGTTTGAGGTCACAGTGGATAATCTTCTCCCTATGCAGCATCTGCAGGCACCTGAGAAGAGCATGGGTGAAGCGACGGATGAGAGCGAGACTGAAGCCTTGGAAGTTGTTTTTTTTGATGAGCTCGTACAAGTTCACCCTGAAGAAAGAGACAAAATGTGATGTGCGGTTAGTTCATTGTGCTGGTAAAAGATAAACACTGCAACATTAAAAAATGTATTATTTTTTCCAACTCTCTTTACAATACTTTTTAGATTGTCCATTTTCTATCTATGCACGTTGTTCATACAGGACTTGGCATAGAAGAGTGAGCCCAGTACGGATTAACTTATAAAAAGATGCACCACATTAAGAACTACATGTTCCTCAAATAAATACTCTGAAAAAAGAAGGCTGCTAAGTTTAAAGTCACTCTACACTTTACTCCTAATAAAACATCGGACTGCCAAGCGCATACTTACAAATGATCTATGATTGTGCTCACATTCAGAGGGAGACAGAGACACAGCTATTTACTGTTACTTGTTATAAGCATAAACTTCTTTAGACTGTGTAACTGGAGCCTTCACACCATGAAGCAAGAAGGGGTAAGAGATAGGGCCCTAATCAAGGCCTTAACTAAAGGATTCGGTGACAGTAATGTTAGACAAGGTGGCAGTGCAAGACGTCCTCTAAAGGTCATTCAGCCAGAGTGATACACAAAACTATCTCCCCTCAAATAGATATCAGTGGCAAGCCCCGCTAAAATGGCAGGTACACAGGTGATCACTTAACTCCTGATTGACTGTAGTCACGTAGCATTCGAAGTAATGTATACAGACAAGTGATAAATAAAGTACAGTGATCTAACCCTGTTGTTGTACCTGGGGAAAGGTGGCTCACCTTGAATACCTTTGATTAACAGATTAATTATTCAGTAATGTCTTTATAGCCTCGTGTAAGACTAACTTCTAAGCATGCAGGCCTGCTTGCTTGCATGCAGACTGAGCGTACTAACCCGAGAAGCTCAAAGGAGATGCAAAGATGATTGCGGAAGTAGAAGTACTCCTTCATGTGGATGACGTTGTGGAGGTTGTCTTTGTCTTTCCTCTTTATTACATCCAGGATCTTCAGCTCAACCAGAGCTTGGTGATGAAACCTGCAGACAAATTTACAGGTAGTGTTAAGATACCTGACTTTCCAGGTATAGCTGAGTAATACATTAATGAAGTTGTGAGTGTCAAATACTTGCATGCCAAAATGGTGATAAATACTAGGATACTTTTAATATACTAATATGTACATTTCTGCTGTCAACTGTCTCTGATAGAGGGGTTTCTCCCAGCACATCAATCCTTAAAATCCCTGGATATTTCTTAACATCAACCATTCACAATCCTCTCCCAGGAGAGATAAAATCGGTCATCCTCCTCAGGCCACTGTGGCCCTTTGCACCCATTTTGTTTTCTGCATTATTGAAGTGGCGGTACGACCCGATGGCTCCTGCATCTAACCTAAAGGACTCAGGCAGTTGCTGCCACTGTGATCCACAGCGAGGAAGGACAGGTAAGATAACACCACAAGGTGCCGACTTCTATCATGCTAAATCAGGATCTGAACGATTTGGCAGACTCCTAACATGTAAAATGATCCTGGTGCAGACATGTGGGAAAACCTCAGAATGGAGGTATCAGATCTCAGATGAATGCCAAAAGTTGACTCCTTGAATGTGACAAATAATTCATTCTATAGAGTATCTGGTGAAGTGTAAAAATATTCTGGATGAAGATCTTTTCCAGGCAAGGTTCAATCAAAGGTGACTGAATATCAGAATGAAATTTAGGGTTTACACGTACCTTTTCTTATTGCGTATCATCTTAATGGCTACGAGTTCATTGTTCTTGTGGTCCAGACATTTCAGGACCTGCCCAAAGGAGCCTTTCCCAATCACTTCAAGAACTTCAAACCTGTAGGCAATGTGGTCATGCAGCACCTGGAAAAGAGAGAAGAGCACTGTAAATATTTGAGCAGGCTTCACTACAGTGCCCTGTATGCTTTAACGAATGGAAAAAAATCACTAATAGCAAAATTAACTAGACTATTTTAATGCACTACAGAACAGTATTAACTGTTCTATAGCTTTGCTGTAACTGGCAGTTCAAGCTTGTGACAGTGAGATGAGTCTCAATAGAAATATAAGAGCCTAAACAATGGTCAGTCACTCAGCCTTAAGCAGCTCGTTTATTACATATTGTCTAACACACAGCTGCCTGTCAGTCACCTGAGTCATACAATACAGTTCAGCCTGTTGTCACAAGGTTTGATGACCTCACTTCAGTTTAATATTTATTAAAGAATTCACCAATGAAGTCAATTCATGTCTGCAGCTGCTGGATTAAGGTCATACGCAGGCATCTGGTCAAGTACAGTTCAGATTAGGCAGCTTGAATGCGTATGTGTGTGTGTGCGTGCGTGAAATGAGAATTAATATCAACAACATGTCTTCACATCAATCTTCTTACTTTAACATTATTTTAAAGTCTATGCACATCTGAATGTGTGAAAATGTATGATTGACTCCTTCCCGCACTGGTTGATATAGTTTCACTTCTTGTTAGAACTTCATGACTAACAACTTTATTCAGATTTACTAGAGATACAGTACATATTGTAATTCATCACAGTGAGTATTTAATATTTTTTGGCAAAGCTGTAACAGCTTCGAAAACTCTTTGTTGGTGCATTTCAGTGCTTCTGGGAAATGAAAGACTTGAGAGTGGATCGCAAAACAGCAAACCTTTTTAGTGCAAAATGCTTGCATATATTGTTTCCGTGATGTTTGTTTAATGTTTGTGTGCCAGGCTTGAGTTTCAACCACAAAGCTTGCGAATGTACTGCTTTGTGGCAGCTGAAAATAGTTTGAAAGCACTTGCCATAAGTGTCAAAGAAGAATTTTCTGCTTGTAACTCTGTAACCACACAACAATAACATAACTTCACTGCAATAGACCACCCATCTCAAACATTTTTGTAGTCTCTGCAAGTTTATTTCATACAATACTGAAATGACCTGACACCAAGTGTTAGCAATAATGTAAAGCAGCTAAAATGAAATAAATGAGGTAAATACAACAGGTATGGTTATTTAATGCTCCATCTAACGCATTACCCTGATGTAGCTTCCATGCTCGTCATCGTATCCCGAGTTCTGCGGTGTGCCCTGGGAACCCTCGATCTTCTGAGAGCCCAGACCCATGAACCAGATCTCTGAGTAGTCCATGATTTCCTCCTGCTCAAACTCCGTCAGCCGGTCCTGGAAGTTCTTCAGTGCCTCTGCAACAGGAAGTAAGAGGTGGAGGAAAAAATGAGTCACTTTTATATTGATTACACCTCTGCCAACTGCAGAGGATTGTGAACAATCGACTCCAATGCCAGCGCGCTATTTTTATTGAATCAGTAGAATCAAACTCGTTACTTAGTTACATGTTTGTGTTGGCGCACCCACAAATGATTCAAAATGTGAAATAAAGTCTCTGTGCTATTCTGCTTGTGTTGTATTGTATTATTATCCATAATAACATACCTATTGGGGACATGGGTAACCTTTGTCCTTCATATGACTTCTCTTTCTCCAGCTTGTTGCTGAAAATCTTGCTGTTGCGGGAGACTGACACTTTATCCATTGCTGTACCAAAGCGCATGGCAAACTGCTGGGTGGGCTTTGGCCTCTCATCCTGTAATATAAACACATCGAGAGTCCACTGTTATTTTCAGAACATAAAAAGTAACTACAGTATGACCTTCATAATGTTTTAACAGTGAACACTGTCCCTGAAACTACTCTGTCAGTTTTGAGTTATATAAGCCACTGGATAAATACCAATACTTGAGTCTTTTTCCTCCCATCAGAAACATCATGAGACACAAAACTAGCTGCTACTGTAGGGTATTACAAGCTGCTCAAGCTGCTAGTGTATGAGGGCCTCACCGGGTGTGCCTGATAGTTGTTTTGGCCCCCTTTGTTGGCAATTTGGGGCAGGATGTTGTCCGACTGCTGGTGTTGGTTTTTGGCATTGCTGACCACCACCTGGACCACCGGTGGCTCAAGCTGAGGCAATGTCCCTACACCAGGGCCGAACTTCTGTAAATAACAGGGACTGTTTTAATTTTACTGGCTTCGATAAAGAAATTAGAAACACTAGTACATTAAAAAAACAAAAAAATAAACTAAAATAGGGTATAATTATAGAGGAAACAAGATCTTTTAGTCAAGTTTTTCAAACTCTCAAAGCTTAAAATTTAAAGTGAGTATATTTAGGGAAATCAACAAAGAAATTGTCCATCTTCCACAGCTAGAAGACTTTTAAGATATGTTTCCTTAGGCTAGGGAATACCCCACTGTCTGTTTGAATATAGCAGAATAACAAATACTGAATAGATCCAGCTGTAAACAGGCAACAAAAGCAGCTACATAGAGCGGGTTAGCGAGTGTGAAGTCTAAATGCATTATTCTTTTTTACATTGTAGCTACAAGTTTGTTACAGCCTCTTTCATTTTTTCATGAGTGTATTTGTGTCTGGCTTCGCCTTGTCAGATTCGGTTTGTATTCTCAGCTAGCGATCTACACCCCTTTCACATGCATTTGGTCTGTGGAGGCTCAGGTGACCAGGACCCCTAGCAGGTAGTGCGACTGGAATTACTGATCAGGGTGAGAGTGAAATGGGGACAAAGCCTGGGAGGCTGGGTCCTGACAGAGTCTCTCTATGGTGGCTTTGTGGGGGAGTTGAAGAGCAGCAACCTGCTTTTCTCTTACTGCCATCCTGCTTGCACTGAGAGCACGATTACACATGTCACAGCCTTGACAGGCTCGGCGCTGGCAAAGATGGGCAAAATTAGACCTCTGTCCTATGCCAAGTTCTCTGGAAAAAATTAGATATCCTACAAAAGAATATCTGTGCCAAGAGAGATTTATAGTGTATATTTAAGAGCTGCAATCCCACTCAAATTTCCCGTGGAAAAATTCAAAACAGTGCTGCCCCTTCATCCTGCATGGTAGCCTTTAGCAATGTGCTGTATTAGCAACATAATAAATTCTTTCATATTAATTATTAACGGCATTCCAGGAAAAAAAAGATTTCCCATCTATACAGTAGATTTTTCATCTCATGTGCTTAGAGCTGCTGCAGGATCTGCCAACTTGGTTATGACGCATAGAGATAAGGGCTAAATATAGTTGCAAGCACCTGCCACAACAGGCAGAGGAAGTAAACACAGTTACGTGCCTGTACATAACTGGAGGACATGCTGCTTCTTTAAGATGCACGTATATCAATGGAGATCTGCAAAGCGTTACACCACATAACCACATATGTGCAGACAGATGTGCACAGTCACATCCATGGAGTAAATACATGTCAATATAGATGACATGAATTGTGCCAAAAAAGAAGAGGAATATTTTCTCTTGCCATGTTTTTAGGTGATTCAAACACTGAGGGAAAAGATGGCTTTGTTGTTCCAACATGCTGTGGGTGCAGAGTAGATGAGCTGACCTGTGAGCAGGGTCGGTTTGTTCCAAGGCGGTTGCCTTCTGCTGGGAGTCTGTGAGGGAGAGGGAAGGCTTCCGGTCGTGACGTCTGTGGGAGGAATCAGAGCAATTCATAAAATGCCCCAAGAAAAAAATGTGCACATTTTTTATATAAGTAATGATTTTCATAGAGTATAATGCATAACAATATCATCTCCAAAGACAATTTTAGGAATCCTTCCACACCAAAAGAGATGATTAAAGCAGTCATGTTAAATAATAATGAAACAGCTTCTTGGCTCTGGCTGGATTCTGCAGTCTCTTTAGAAACACATAGCCTGAGGGCAGCTGAGTGAGGTTGCAGCCAGACTTGCAGAAATAATGTACTATGATCTTAAAATAGATTACTTCTGCAAAAAACCCAGCAACAACGATCGGGTAGCCTCTGTGTATCTGCTAGTTTGTGCAGGTGTGTGCACATGCACATCCATGTGTCTGGCAGTGGGTGTACACGTGCCTCCAAGCCTGTGCACACTGGAGATCCACTTGCCTCAGTGTGTTAAAGGGAAGCGATGAATGTTGTAAAAAAGAGTTCCAGATATTCTAAAAAAACAACAAGCATGACTTGCATTTGGGATGATTCTGCACGCTTCTCTCTGACACCAAGCCAGCTTACACGTGCCTTATTAATCAGCGGGTGAGCGTGCAGCTGTGTTGGGCGACACCATATGGGTGAATAAAGCTTAGCCCCAAATGGGGATACGTGCTCAACTTGCTCTGGCACAGGGAGGGGGTAAGACAGGCTGGGTGGGGTGTTGTCCACAGGTGGTGGGTCGGAAACAGCTTCCTAATCATTAACCTTTACCACTGATTGAGAAGCATAAGCTACATCAGATCAGTGGCACTGCATAATTGTCCAGGGTGAGGAGGAGCCGAACTGACCCATCTCGACCAGCTCAGAGGAGGAGGATGAGACACTAAACTGACTTCCTAACTCTGCTTTAAAAACTCCTGAATTCATGCTGCTCACTGGAGAAAATTAAATCCACCCTCACTGGTTTTGCTGTTCATGTTAAAGCTGATATAGGAGTACAACATGTAGCCAAAGAAGGGGATGATACCCATCATGTTACAATCTCAGGAGCACTGTGAGTGACAGCAGGAGCCATGTAGGTCAATGTGACAGGTTGGCTTCCAAAACACCACCTGTAAAAGGTGTGCTGTAAGCCTGGCTAATGAGCACTGAGCCAGTGGAAACCCAGTGACAAGTGCAAGAGAAAAATAGTGACCCTTTATTCCACTGCAATGAATATTTGAAGTTTCTAAAGTATATTCACAGCCTATGTGATAGAAATAAGTGTCAGGTGTTTGGGCCACAATGCGGAAGTGAGTGCACACATTCTGTATGTCTCACCTTTGTAATTAAAACATAAAACAATTTGGACAGGAGGAGACCAATATATATTAGTTTGTATCTGTGCCTAAAATTCACAAATGCACAAGAAAGAAAATAACATCATACTTACTATTTATAATACACTGATTAAGATAACATTTTATTGTACGATATTATAAATTGTCTTTCCAGTGTACTCATAAATTTTCAGTCTATTTACGCACAGGTGAATCATCAAAGAGGGCATTTGCTCTTAATATACCGACGGGTTTACATAAAGTTACATAATTAAATAAATGGAAGAGAAGACAAGGAAACTGAAGTCGAGAGCGATGCTGACTCTGTATGTGTGCGACTGCAGGGTCTTTGCTTGAGGTGGGATCATCCCAGCAGGTGTGCGAGAGCAGATTCGGCTCATTAAGGGTCAGTCCTCCAGGGTCAGTTGGTCAAAGGGTCAGCAAAGCCATAAAACCAGGAGTAAGTGAGGGTAAACATCAACAAACTGTAAAACCGTGCTCACTCACACTATCAGCTGTCAGACTTGCATTTTGTGATGTATAATCACTCTGCTCTGTCATTTTCATTACATGCAACAAGCTGTGTCGTCCTGATAGCACTGAATGTGACCACAGGGAAAGGATGCATGTTAATGAAGCATAATCACTGATCAATCCATGTGATCAAAATGAGTGTGGTTAATTTAATTTGTTTTGCAAAGCAAGCATTCCTTTATTTCTAACTTATGTTACTAAAAACAGGAGAAACAGTAAAAAAAATCTTCTTTGATCCAAAAACAGCAAGGGTTAAATTTATATCACTTTCCATGTAAGGTGTGAAAAATACACCAGAACGCATATAGACTTACAGAATCTGTCAGCACAACAAACACTGAAATAAGTAGGCTAAACAACGACTGAAATAGAAATGGATCAGATTTTTCATCATAACTTGGCATGTGGTCAGGAGAAAGGGGGCGGACTAAAAAATAAGCATTCAAAGATAACTTGCAGAGGAGAAAGGGAAATTCCAAAGTGAGAATAAATTCACATTTTTGACATGGATCAATAAGATAAATAGGAAATGTAAAATAATGTTGTTTTTTTTGGTTTGTCATTGTAAAAGGATACCTGTGGAGGGTTTCTCCCAACATGGAAGTAGCCTGGAATGAAGCCCTGTATCCGGGCAAAATAAATTTTTATTTACTACTTAACTACTACTTTATATTGAAAAGGACTTATAGGAAATCTGTAGGTTTAAAGAAGAGGAATCCCAAAGTGATACTATGTGAGATAATATTATAGAAACTCTACCATTGATGAACAGACCAACTATGCCATTATCAGAAAGTCATAGTGACACTTAACTCACACTACAATTAACCAATGGATCTTATTTTTTTTTTACCAGCAGGTCAACCAACCAACTTGCTCAAATCAAAGTGCCTCACCTTGTTATTTATTTCTGGCAACATGCTGTGTGCTCAATGTCAGTCTTTACAGCAGCTTGACAATCCAAACACAGAGTAGAGATTATAAAATCCAAAAAAGAGTCATTGTATCCAACTCTGTCAGTCCAGCCTCAAAAACCAAGACGCGCTTTTCCAAGACTCCAACTTCGCGAAGAGGACTGAATCGACACTGGTGAGTACAATCCCGATGACTGATCAGATCCACGGACCCAAACCTGCCGTACTCCTGGTTTTACGCGCACGGGGTAATGCGCTGTCGTCAGAGAGGAGATTAGGAGAGAGAGGCAAGCTGTTGAGGGTCTCTGCGCCTTGACGCGTACTGCTAAGACACTGAAGGAGCCACCTGTTCAGGTTTCTGCCGCGGACAGCTGGGGATGTCCCGATATAGATTTGTTTTTATCCGTTTGCTGTCGTCCACCTACACCATGCTGTGTGACTGATGCGCTCTCCAACACCGACGCTGCACAGAGAGAAGGTTTCACACCGACGCACGCACGTCGTGGCCGCACTCGATTTACAGTAAAATGTTGAGTACACTGCAGTTCCAAAGAAGATCCCCACTGTCAAAAACGTGTCACGCAGTCTGTCTCACCCCCATTCTGTAAATCTTATCTTTCTGACATCTAGGGCAAAGATCTGAACTTGTTTCCAGCGTCGCTTATTTCAGCTGTTTAACACAAACGAGCAGCAAAATATCAAACGGAATATAGAATATAAAATGGATCACTCAAGAAAACATCGAAGATAGTTTTTAACTGAAAAAAAACATGATTTCACCAAATAAACTAAATGTTAAATAGGCTACTTAAACAAAATGGACAGCCTTTGAAGAATATCCTACCCTTTTCCTTATAGTCACTCAGTCAATGTGATGTTTAGTAGACTAGGAATCAGAATCAGTATCACCTTTATTGGCCAGGTATGCTACACATACAAGTAATTTGACTCTGGTTTCACGTTGAAATATGCATACACACAGCAAAAAGAAACAAGGGCAACAAGCTGGAGGAGGGAAATATAAACTAGGCTACTATGTACAGATGTATGTATGTCTTAAACTACAATCACATTTGTAGACAGCAAGACAGCAAAGAATGCTGGTGTGATGTATGCATGTAAACTGCATGGAGCCTGAGCTCCCAAACCTCCCAAACCTCTCCCAAATGGATAGAAAATAGATCAATATTAGACCATTTTTGTGAGATTTTGTGCTTAAGACGTACAATAATAAGGAAATTAATTAATTTTTCATTTTGTTGGAACCTTCCAGAGATTCTAATAGGTGTTAAAACAATGCAAAACACAGTGAGAGGGCAGCTTCCCATGCAGAGCACTGCAAATAAATTCTTAACCTGTAAGGAAACACAAACTTTTATTTAACCAGAAAGGACTGTTAAAGATCCAGATCTCTTTTCATACGGTAAATATGGCCAAAATGGCCGCACAGTTATTGCAAAGAGCCAACACAAGGCCAATAGCCACAAAAGGAAGAGGAAGTTGTTTCTAAGTTTATAACTATCAGACGCAAAGAAAAAAAAATTGCTACTATATTGAGTCAGGCGACAGAGCTGACAGACAGACGTCGTAGAACCGAGGGATGCCAAATGTTTCTGAGAGCAGGCAATATACTAAAATTTCACATTCACAGTGTAAAAAGAGTCTCAAGGTTTTCCCCTGACCTCGGTGATAAGTGAAATAACATCTTGTAACAAGAGGCCAGACATTACAGCATGAACACCATGTCACCATTTGTTTTCCAATGACTAATCCCCACTGCAGGGGTGGAAACAACTCAGCTGCTCCATGTGATGAAGAGCCCAGAACAAGCACAGGAGATGAATATGATTAGATGACAGCTGTTATGCAACAGCAGTGGCCACTTCAGTAATCAGGCTCAGCCTTGGGACAGGATGAGATGAGCTGAACTATCGAGGAAGCTGCTCCTGCCCTCCTTATTCCATCCTTACTAACTCTCCTAATCTATTCCCTTATTCCCTAATCGGTCATTGCGTTTACAAAGTTAATAAAAAAAGTGAATCATGAAGTTGAATCACTGGAGCCAGATCAGATGTGAGCTGACACACAATTTATGCTGAGGCGCAGGGTGTGTGTGGCCCCTGCTGGTGGAGTGGCCCCTTCAGATGAATGGGTAATTGGATGGACAACAGGAGGGAGACAGGGGACACACTCAGAAGTGGGAGGCTCCTTTAAATCTGGTCTGATTAATAACGACAAGGGATGCAGTGGGCGGCATTCATTTTATACAACGTAGATTACAGCCGGAGCAGAACAGACTAGGCTGCCTGTTTGTTTGTAAAATGCTACTGTGACACCGTTTTATACAAAAACAACATTACTCTGCTTCTCTTTTTATCTCTACACTGCAGCACGGTAGCAATAATTGATAGGGAATACGATAAATCAAATTATCGTTGAACCATAGAAATATTAATTTAAAGGTCCAGTGTGTAACATTTAGGAGGATCTATTGGCAGAAATACAATATATAGTTCATAGGTATGTTTTCATTATTGTATAACTACCTTAATATATTAATTATTGTGTTTTTGTTACCTTAGACTGAACGTGTCGCCTTCCATAGAGACTGCCATGTTGAACTGCCATGTTTCTACAGTAGCCCAGGAAAGGGTTACCCAATACTGGCTATAAAAAGGGCCTGATGCGTTTTCTGTGAATTTTGCAGCCACCATAGTTTCTCCTAAACCCTTCACAGCCCGTTCTGATTCCCAGATTTTTAAATACAGACGTGAATGGTGTTCAGTTAGTTGCAATCTGCAACTTCACCACTAGATGCCACAAAATCCTCTACACTGGTCCTTTAAAGAAGTAGTTTGACATTTTGCGAAATATACTTATTCACTTTTTTGCAGGGAATTGGTTGGAGAGATGGCTCATGTCTGAACAGTAAACATTAGTGATGGTAAAAGCATTTTTTTTCCAGTTCATCAAAAAGATTTGTTATATCAATATATGATTGCGGTTAAATCAGCGTATGACTGACACCCCTAAAGTCTCCATGCCACCCCCCCGCCCCCCCCATTAATATTTCTCTAGATCCGTCCCTGGCTGGCTGTTTATATTTAGCAAGCTCATATGAGAGTGGTATCAATCAGCTCATCTTATTCTCCAAAAGAAAACCAATGTCCCAAAAACTATTCTGTTAAACAGTATCTTCAGTATGTAAGTAGTGGTAAAATCAAATAGTACATAATCAAACTACAAGCTAGTCAAGCACTGTAAACCAGTTCCCCTGGGAGAGTCATTAGGCTGTATGCATTTTGTCACCCAGGTGACAACGCATTGGTGATGAGAATCAGCTGGAGCAAAACAATGGAGATACCGTATATCTCACCATGACAACCAAAGATTAATGAAACAAAGCGTCAACAGTTTATGTATGCCTGACACATGCTGAAACAAGAAGGACTGTGCTACCAGTGAGCGATTCTAAAAATAGTGATGGAAGTGCTCAGAACAGGATATAAAAAAAGAAAGGAGAGAGAAAGAAAGAGTGTGGGCATTTATATACAACAATTGTTGTCTGACGTCCTGTCTCCCCTCTATTGCCTTCAAACATACCTCAGGTTGGACCCTCCTGTTCCTGCCCCAGCAGCAGCTCTGGAGGAAGCTAAAACCACAGCAGGCAGGTGAGGTCCCGTCTTCCCACATAGCACATCTCCTCCATGCTGCCACAACCACGCCCTCAAGCCAACCTCAGCCTCTGGACAGCCAGAGGGGTGGTAGTTTCTTCAGCAGGTCAGAGATCAGATAGGACACCCTTAGAAGCAAAATGAAGGATGATGATGATGATGCCAGGCCTGCATTTCCTGCTGTTGGTGGTCTATAAACTGTAAGTCAGGGTGTTGTTCCCCGACTCCATTTGAAAAAAATAAAATCTTCTTGAAATTAACAGAACTTTGATGCTACAACGTTCAGATACGCTGACTTGCCATCGTCTTCTTTTGCAAATCCTGAAAATATGAATGACTTCTTAATGCAGAACTTCTTGTGGTTCGTCATAACTCTCCCAACCCTCTGGACTGCGTCATATATTTGAACAAGGTTACATTCTGGTTGTTTGAGACCTCGGTTCCCTTTTGTTTTCTTCCTCGGCAGGTTCCTCCAAACTATTTTTCTCTGCTCCGGGATACAGACAGCGTAGAGGCAGGCTGCAGACAAGACAGTGAGAGGATGCTGTTGCTTTGTGCTGTTGCTATAATCGGTGAGGGAGTGCTCGCTGTCTTCGCCGCTGCCGGTGACGTATGGATGGGACTCAACAAGGGACCCATCCTGAGCCGGAGACACAGCAGCAGGGGCCTGGCACTTAGCTTCCTGTAGAAGAGGCCTCTGGGAGTGCAGGCTTGGGGGGGTTGTGGGACTAGGGAGAGAGAGAGATACTGTAGGTACGGATCCCATGATCCTCCCAGGTGGGCTCTTCATGGGGCTGAGGAAGTCAGACAGGGAGGAGGTTCAGCTCTAATGGGCATCCCATGGGGTTCAACAGACGCCGGCAACTTTACTTTCCTTTGCCTTCTCACTTGCCACTGTATCTGGGAGACAAAGCCAGTGGGGCTGTCAACCCCCCCCCCCCCCCCCCCCCCCCCTCTCCTCCATCTCTGATACCGTTTTCCACCTGTTTTGCTGCTTCCACAAACCCCTGCAGGCTGCTACAGTCTTGCTGACAAATAGTGCATAGATGAAAGCTTATCTCACCACACCCTGGCTGCCCCTGGCCTTCTGCCTGCAGCACACAGCAGCAGGGGACTGCAGAGTCCACAGCAGGGCAGGACGCAAGGGCTGAATATGAGCTTTATACTGCAAGTAGTCATGGGGGAACAAAGTCGTAATTACCTCTCTGCACCTCTTTACTCATTGTTGATGATTAAATGATTTACTTGAGATGACTGAAGGAGCACTAAATGAAGTACAAACTCTCTATTTAACCTCAAGTCATTAGTTTTAAATTATTATTAAATGTTTGCATGCCAAAGGACCAGTCCTCTTCGTGAATACAAGTATCTTTGCTCGCATGAGTGACCATCTACCTAAAATAAAATCTGTAAATCACCTTGTTTTGGTGACAGGAAACATGTTGCTATTTCTGTAGCATGAAGCACCAGGCTACTGTATTTCATTACTGCCCTGTCAGCCAGTCCTGATGCTTATATGACTCAGAGTGGTAGCTGCTGTATCTCTTGTCTTACAATATTCAATCCATGGCTCTAAACCCAGCTATAACAGAGTCATTCGGCAGGCTGTTGGCCTACAAGTGCCACAGCTTTTCCACAGCTTTGAACCATCAAGCTAGATCTGGATAGAGTAACAGCAGATGGTTGGACCAACTACACCAGGCCAGATGAGACTAAATTACCTCCTCTTAGAGGGTTATAACCCGGTGCCTCACATTCTATTAGGCCCTGGTTAATCGCTGCCAGGTGCCAGACAAGGCAAACTGAAGCGAGGTGAGGTGCCAGCCAAAACAGACAGTATCAGAGTCTCTTTCCATTTGGCAGAGAGGTGCGTGGGTAGTTTGACCTGGCTGGCAGGTGGACTGCAGCATCTACAGTTTTAGACACACAGCAGGCCTCTCAGTGACAGCATGTCACCATGTGAGATATGGGTCGAGTTCACGAGTTGACACAAGCGCATACACTTAAACACACTCACAGGCATAAGGGCAATTATAGGCTCAATTGTGACTTACACGTGACATGTTAATGGTGCTTGGCAATAGCAGTTGGCCGGTGAAACAGATTAACGTGTTTGTGGTGATGTTCTTTCAGTCTTTCATCCAGCTATCTATGAATGGAAAATCATTAGGCCAAGACTTAAAGGAGCAGTGTGTAGGATTTAGAGGCATCTTACAGTGTAGTAGTGGATTGCAGCTAACTGAAAGCTGCTCACATCTCTATTTGAAGGACATAAAAATGAAACTACGGTAGCTGTAAAAGTCGCTACAACTTTGAACAAAGTTAGCATATAGCCCTGATCAATGTGAACTCCAAAGAAACTTTTAGTTTAGTAAGTTATGTCAGCATCATTTTAAACTGTTTATTACAATTAAATGACAGCAAAATCGGCTTATTTGGTGTTCATCCTGCTGTTATAAGTGGGTTCAGTGGTGAATAAACACATTTTCCACACAGGAGTTGAGGCGAGATTGGAAAGTGTAAGTGAGTGTTCTTCATTTTTTAGGACATTGCAAGGTTTATTACGTGTTACCATAGCATCTCTGTAGCATTGAGGGTGGGAGGAGATGAAATGCTGCTGTCCCTTTAATCACATTTGACATGAGGTCAGTTCTCTGTTTAACCAATTGTGTAAATTAATATTATTTCCAAAAGTGAAACCTATAACCTATATGCTATAAATATCTTCTTATCTGAACGCTACAGAGTTTAATATTTGCACAGGGGCCAATGAACAACCAGCACGCATTCACTGTATTTAAAGGACATTAGTAAACTGAAAGCTGTTATTATTGTTAAGTAATTACAATCAGGTCAGATTCTGAATGCTTGCCTGATTATCCTCATTGTCTATCAAAAGGAGTGATTTTGCACGTGTGAGTGTGTGTTTTTTTGTTCAAGTAAATCTGTGCCTGTGTGTGTGTGATTGTAGATGTGGACACAGCTGAAAATTAAGCAGGGCTCAGGCCAAGCCAAATCTCATTAGCCATGTGGAGAGGCTCACTCCACTGCAGTGAAGAGGGTGAACAAAAAAAAAAACCCTCTTTAATTCATCTTGTGTCCGACAACAGTGTGAAACAAGCCAGCATTTGATTGTAGCAAAGTCAAGTCAATGAACTATATGTTAGCTGCGTAGCTTCAGTCAGGACAATACATTCTGTACTGCTGTAACCTATAAATAAACAGGGTGGGTATCAGTGGTACGTACATATAGCTACTGCTGGAGCAGAGGGTGACAAGTGGCAAGTTGTTGTGTTTTTATGACATGCACTGCAACTGCAAAGTAAATATGGTGACTCAGTCTGCCCCTTGATAAAGAACTGTCAAGAAATGGGTTCTATGCTGTTGTTATATATTTAATAATAAAAGAATTAAAGTAAGAATAAAGTACAGTCAGTGAAAACTATTAAAATGCCACTATGAAATCATATATAATCCTATAGTTATTTTCAACTTTTGCTACTTCCAGTCAATTGGGCTGGACTGTATAGTTTAAATCAATCAAAAATAAATAAATAATTCCAGACACAAGTGACCCAAATCAGATTTTTTTTGCTCATATGTTTTGTATAAGGATCTGTATTTTTCATGCCATTGTGAACAGTGAAATGATCTTTTCAATTATGATTTGTGCCACTTTTATATGTGGTCTAAATCAGATTCAGGTCTGATTTGAATTAATGTGACTTTTATGTCACTCAAGATCTACGTTCATTATGCATATTTCAGGACTGTGATCTGTTCAGACTGAAATCTGATATGGGCCACATTTAACAAATAATGTGAAATGTAGCCTTAGTCGATGAATTGAGAATCTAATCATTATCATTATATTATTAGGATATTTGTGTGATCTTGATTTATCTCAGTATATATCTTAGTATGGCGAATGTCCTGTATGTCTTTATTTTACTTTAATTCTTTTTATACCACATACACTGGCACAGACACATTTCCCCCATAATTTGTGTATTTGCAGGCGTGTTTGTATAGTGTGGTTGATGGAGGTGGAGGTTGACCCACTACTTTATATTTGTGTCAACTGTGCCCGACCAGACCACCTACATACAGAGTACACATAATCCTCTCATGCTCCATAATACACAACACATAATTTCAAGTACTGTAATAACCACAGACAGACACACAAGAGTGTCCTGTCTGTCTTCTTTATCAGACAGAGACCCAGACTGTCACAAAAAGTACCAGAATTGGGCCACAGGTCACGTTTCCTGGCCTTGTTTAGCAGATGATTAGATCATGGTGGTATTATAAACAATAGTCTTTTCCCATTTCCCCAAGAGTGCGTCTGAAAAATTAATCCCATGCTTTTGAGTCTAGTGCACAGTACAGACCTTTTGACTAATCCTGTGCCCCCCCAAACAACTTGATGGAATCCTCATATTTTCTTCTCATATAATACAGGATCACCAAAAACAAACCTCTTTCACACAGCCAAATTATAGTCCTGTGCTCAAATCAGTCAGTACTCAGGAAACTCTATACTGTTTACTGTCCCACCATGTCTCCACCCATCTCGTATTCCTGTGCATTGCAGCCATATAGAGACGCAACCCTCAAAGAAACATGACCTGGAAAAATGTCACTGATACAGCAGAAAATATTTTGTCTTTTGTCTTGATTGGATTGTTTCTGTAAAGCAATTCTCTAAAAAGAAAAATATTCTTCCAATACAAAGGGAGGGCTTTCTGTGTGTATGACACTAGCATTAAAGTTAGTTAGAAAATCTAGGTAAGGCAATGGCATTAAGGTACTGACAGGTAGAAAGTCCTTATTTTAAACTCTCTTTTGTAAAATGATTCAGTAAAGAAAAACAGGAATCTAAACCTTTGGAGCAAGAAAACAAGACATTCTTATGAATGATAATGAATGTCAAAAACAAAACCCCACAAGCTTAGACATTTTAAAAAAGGGAAGCTCACTGACCAGTTTTAATG